ATAATTTTGGACCCTATTTACCTTCTCATTTCCTAATTTAAGAAACTGTCTAATGCAGTTAAATCTGACGTTTGCCTTTGCCTTAAACGTGAATCTTAATCTTGTCAACGCGAATACTGTATCTACAACTTAAAATGTTCCGATAAAAAATATTGTTGTTAATTCTCTACTTTAGATGGATTTGCAACCCACGTTCGCTTCTCAGGCTTCCAACAACAACAATGATGACGTCATGCAAGTCGCAAGCCTGGATATCCGAAGTCGTTTGATGGCATTGTTGTTGAAACGTTTTCCAAAATTCTCCTCCAGCGCAAAGAAAAGACTCCTCTGCATTATGTACCTGATGTTTTTTACCTGGCAGGTGATTGGACTGATCTTGTACTCCATCCGAGCCTTTGAAGCAATCTTCGTTGCAAAACATGCTAGTTTCCAAACTACAGATATCGAGATGTTCTCACACTCGGCGCAGCTGGAACTCCTCTGGGTAATATCACAGATGCTGAACGCCGCTGTAGTGATACTTGCCTTAAAGAAAGTGCCCTCGTTCCTGGGCTATTCCACCATCTTGAGATCTCTTGTGCGCCTGCCATCTTTTTGGAGTTTAATGTCATTATATGGCATGTGCAATATAGGATATTTTGCTATTATTGCGCTGAAGAATGACTCCCCAATGGAGATTGCCTTAATTTTGGCCTTCCTTTTTGCTGGCGCCGCCCATGTCTTTTTGATCGGTTTTTTAAGCTTCACACAGATTAACGCCTCAGGAAGAAAGTCCTTTAAACTTTGTGCGTTCTTTAAAGTGAACATTTTTATATCGTTTTTATCATTTTTTGTAGAGTTTGTTATTGGCACTTTTCAGTTTGCGCTTGATATTTATGGTATAGATGATAATCATAATGAAATTTCATCGGACTTTATGTCCTTAATTGGTGAAATTCGCAGATTTACAGCGATTGTCTTCGCTTATCGAATCTACATTTTCTACTGGGAAAAAATGTTTGTGGATAACAGGAATATTCTCTGCCATCACGATTTTTTGGATGATGCACGGCAAGTGTCCTATAGTGATGATGTGCAATCTACACCAACAATTGTCACTAACTAGCTAAAAAGAAAACGCAAGTAAAGATCTGACATAGTGGTGCGAGTATATTAAAATGAGATCAGAGGGTCTGGATAGGGTTAACTGACTACTGACAAATGGTCAAAATTTTAAATGACAACTGACAAATAGCTATTGAATTTAACTGACAGCTGACGCTATATGCCTTGGGTTTTACTGACAACTGACAAAGGACCTGATTGTCCCTTATTTTGTACCGTTAACCGTCAAAAATGCAGACTAAAGATAAACGGTAAAAAAGTATCAAGGTATTTCAAATCTCACTATTTCAGGTGATCTTCAAGGGATTCTGCCCCCCCCCCCCACCCCCCGGGGATTCTGGCCTCTGAAGAATCTTTAAACTGGAAGAACCAGTTCCTATGTTCTCAAAAATACTCTTTCTAGACATTACAGTACCCTGAAACCTGCTTATATCTGAAAACACTTAGAAATTTTGTGCCAATGCAAGTGCAATGCCAAGAAAACTTCCCAAACACAAAGGTTAATATTAATTTATACAGAAGTTGATATTTACTTTAACTTTTGGACTCAGTAACCGTCAACCGTCAAACTGATTGGAAAAAATTAACCATTAACGGTCAAAGCTACCACCTCATTGGGATGCCTGTGAATGTTGAAACTAGGCCACCATCTATAAATGTCAACATAATTTTGTATTCTGTATATTTATTTAGGTGAAAGTATATTCTAAGTAGCAAGTTCTGAATAGCCATTCCTGTTTATTAATGTCATCGAAACATAATCCCTGTTAATTTTTATAATTGTAAATAATCAGATTATGTTGTAGGCATGTAAAAACGTTACAAAACACAGAGGTAATGTTGATTCTTTTTTCAACTCTCTTAGCCCGCAAAATCCCACAAAATTTAATCGTGAAACCAATATCCCAGAAGTGTTTCGAAAAGTACCGTACCTCATAAAGGTGTCAGGTATACACTCACACAGTGTTAGGTCCTCAGTTAATGTTTCAAATCTTAATTTTCGTGTATCACGTGTGAGATCAAATTATGGCAAACACACATTTAAGTTTGTCATAACCAAAACCTGAAAAGAGATTCCTACTAGCATGAAAACACTCAGCCAATATCAGTCAAAAAACAATGATACAGGCGAATTCTGCTTAACTCCCAAAAGTAATGATGTAAAACGACTCACGGTAAATTGTATAACCCTCCATAGTTGCCATGCACAGCACCAGTCCTAGCGCATATAAAAGTATTTCGATTCCTTAATACATATATATATATAGCGGTGGTCAGCTCGAAAGCTATGTTCCTCTCACTGGGGTGACCACTGCGACTTCTCTCAAAGCCATTTATTCTGTTATTTGTTATTTTATTTCTTTGTTACTCTCTCAGCAATGTAAATATTATGTTAAGTGTGAATAATAAAAAAAAGGAAACAGTACTGAAACTGAACTCAGGCTCTTGTTAGTATGAACATGCCAAAATATCATTCACTTTTTATTCTTGATGTTAAAAAACGTGTTCTTCAGTCTAATAAGTGTTTATGAGGTTGACCAGTGGTCACCTACTTTACTTCACTACGTTTTCTTTCTTCTTTTATTCCCTCCTGGCTGAAGTCAAGTATACTAAGAAAAGTCTATAAAAAAATCCGGGCCAAAGTTATCAACAAAGGGAAACGGGGTCTTTATATCTTATATCTTTACATCTTATGTTTTTTTCTTGTATTTATTGTATCGTTTTTTTCTACATTCTTTCTTCATTTTATTTTATTTTTTGAAACGGTTGTAAAAAAATCTATAAAAATAAGAATAAAAAAACCTGGCAACAGGTTAAAAACAAAAAAACAAAACAAAACAAAGGGGATGTTAATGCTCAACTGACCGATCACAAAGGAGGCTGAGCTACCAAGCTTATTTAAACTCCGTAACTCGAACAGGTCTTTCTGTTGACGGTACTGTATGCTGAGACGGCGAATTTGACTTCTAAATAATGTCTTGCACGAAATTCAAGAAGAAATTTTAAAAAGTATAAGGTAAGCGTTCTTATATTATTGTTATTATAGAAAAACAAAAGAAAGGTCAAAAGTAAAACTGCTTTCAAAATGGCTGCTATTTCTATTTTGACGGTGTAGACTTTCATTGCTTGACTGAGATCGAACTCGGAAAACGTTTAATTAAAAACTGAAATTGTTTTTTTTTTCTCAGGTTCAGGTCAGTTACAGAGAAGACATAACAACGAGTTTAATCAGGTACATTCTCATATGTTTTCTTACAATCTATGCTCTGGCACTAATAATCAAGCATTTTCACTGTAGTGAATTGAGTTTCGATTTTTGTTAACACTGCGAAGAAGTGAATAACTGATTTACTAGAAATAAGTTGGAACTTGTTTATCAACTTTTAATATATGAGAATACTGACCATGATTTCGCTGGATCCTAAACGAACCTGTGTTGAGCTAGGAAAAAAATATGACGGGCGATTTCAAACGTCGCGCTACTACCGTACCGAACTCAAGAATTCATTCGACTTCCGTTAGATCGATAGACACGCTAGTACCGCGACCAGCGTTTGAAACCAAGCGTTACCACAGTCGTGCTAGCTAGCTAGACTCGTTCTTTAGTCTAGCCAACTCAGCACGGCTGTAAAAAGGCGTTTGAAACGCCTTATTAGTCAAAGATGTAGTTTGAAAACAGTAGATTATATTACCGTTTCACTTAATAGGTGTCGTCCTTGGACCCTCTATGTATTTATTATCACGGGTTATATCCAGCTGTTGTGTTGAATTTAATTGACTTCGATAAATTAACTGAAGGTGATTGTTATCCGGAGGGTACTCGCATAAATTTTGGGTAGGTGTGTGCCGCCCAGGGTCTTAAACCCTGCACTTATTAAATATTGTAACAAAAGCCGAAACTTGATACCTACTAGTATTTTCACGTGATGTCACGGTGGCCATATTAGTGTACAAAACATTGCAACGGAGGCCATGTTCGTGTACATAAAAAATCCTGTGGAGATTCAATTCTCTTCTCCATTCAAAACTTCCCTTTCTTCCGAGAAATTTCAGCATAGCCGCTAACCACGTGAATGCAAACGATCTATTTGGGATAGCTCATATCCAAAACTCATATCGCCGATTGCTTAACAATAACCACGCCAAGATACAGTCTCAGAACCTCCTACACCATGATAGCAAATGTTTTCTAATGCAAATAAGTTAAACTTTGGACCATTTCGAAATAAAGCTATTAAAGACAAATTTCCTCCCCCTTTTTTAGAATCAGTCTAAATGATGGAGACTATGGGCCGAATCGATTCTGCAGAAAATTCCGATGAATTTGCAAGCCTCGTTGACATGGTTGAGCTGAAGAGCCGGCAGAATGCAAGAAAAAGAAAAGTTTTCCTCAGCGTATTCGCCACTGTGATTTACAGCGTTTTTTTACTTTGGGAGTTTGTTGGAAGTGTTTTGTACACGGTCCGCGCAGTTGAATGCTCCGCTGGAGACAAACTAGAATCGTTCCATTGTGGCGACATCGATACGTTTTCCTTCTCCAAAGAACTAGAATTGGCGTGGTATATCACACGACTAGTTCAAATGATTTTCATTGTTCTTGGAATACAGAAATTGCCTGATTTCCTTGGTTACGTGGCCACTTTACATAAGCTTAAAACCCTACCAGCATTTTGGACTCTCCTTCTTTTGTTGATGATGGGTCTCGTTAGATATGTGATACTTCTTGCTTTATCAAATAATCTAATGACTGGTGTTTTGACATTATTTTTCATTCTCAGCTGCATTTTCAAATTCCTAATCGTGGGGATTGTTAATTATTGCCAGCTTAATTCTTTAACGCAGCGAAATCCAAGATTTGTTTTAGTGCTTGTGAAAATTACATTCATAGTTATTCTAGTGCAGTGTATCATTGACTTTTGCCTAGCAATAATGCAGCTTGCCTTATTCGCCGACGACTTTAATAAGTTGAAGATCTGAAAATCGACGAACTTCCATGTTGTTGCCAATTTGTTAAGAAAGTCAGCTGAGTGTTCATTTCACTATAAAACTATGGATTTCTTTTGGGAAAAACTTTTTAATGACCACAAGAACATTCTTGAAAGTTACCATGTTCGCTTAAACCAGTCCTTGATGCGACGAGTTTAAAACTAGTGCTTCAATGAAAGGTAGTAAACTTTTTACTTAACAATTTGAATAAATAATGTAATGTGATATAAAGTTTGTAGAGTTGTGTGGGGGACTAGGTCAATTTCGTTTCGCATTGCACCATGGGGCTGTTCTCTTGAGGACGCTGTAACGAAGACGACGGCACAGTGAGCTGTTTATCACTTACATTGTTCAAAAACAAAATCTAATCCAAATAATTAGAAATACGTGTAGAACCTCGCGAGGCTCGGGACAGGGTGGTCGGAAAAATGTTAGGGATGGGATGAGTGGAAATAAAGTGGATTTTGCGGTATCTGTGAAGAGTGAAGGAGTTGAATATGGGGCCGTGAAATAAGAAGGCGAGTCTCGTTTTGGTTGGAGTGAATTTGAACCCAGTCCCTTTGCTTCAAAAGAGGAAGGGATGGGATCAAAATAGAAGAAATAGAAGTAGAAGAAGAACCAGCAAAGAATGGTTAGTCAAATACTAGTTTAGGCGGGGGTTAATTTAAGTCTAAACCATTGGACTTACACGCAAAGTTATATCTCCAACCGTGGTACAAGGGCGAGGCCGGTTGTTGATGGAACCCCTCCCCTGAGTTTTTGATATGTTGCAGTATTTCGAAAAGATTTTACCTTAAGTGGAAGCCTTTCTCGATACGATGAGGTATATTTCATTGGTGGTGGCGCTGCTGGAGGCCTGTGACGTCACCAAAAATGGTAGCCATCTTGGATTTTACCAAGGATTAGAAATCAGGTAAAAACGTAGAGAATGTATTTTTGTTTTGCGCAGGACATGTAAAACAATAATAAGTACTTTGCTTCATTTTATCCACAAACTTTACGTTAGTTGTTGAAACAAGTTGAAAAAAATATGCATTTTCAGTTAACAATAACTTGACAACCTGCGGCGTGATACCGCGATAGGAACTGATCATCACCAAACTTTCCTCAAAATGCGCACGAGAGACAAAGAGACAGCTACAAACGTCAGATGCTGGTATTTGATCGTCTAGAAAAAAAATTACAGCATCCACCCCTCCCCCTTCCTTTGCAGGTCCTTGTTAAGACAAGTGAGATGGCCTTACGCTTATGATGCAAATGAATCCAGTATAAAACGATTCTGAAACGTTTTGTTTATCACGTGATGTGGTTAGAAACTAAGGCCACTAAACAAGTTCGATGATGTCAGCTTTCTCAGCCAGAAAACATAAAAAACGACTTTCGAAAGTTCATTTTCAGCGAAATAGATTAGTTGAACAAGGAGAAGATGCAGTGAAAAGAAGTAGACTGAGTGGAAAAGTACTTATTTCAAAGGTGGGTAACTCCATAAATAAGAAAAAGTAGGAAAGAAGGTAGAGTAGTAGTATTTAAGTAATCTCACTTTTAGAATTAAATTGCCACTCGGCATGTTGATTATAATCCCCGTACCTAATTATGATGATCTTCTTAATTATTTATATTCTTTGTGAAATTTCCATTTAATGACCCCTCTTACGTTAACAGTTTTCAGGGTTAATCTTAGTAGTATTACAGTGAAACCTCTATTAAGCGGACACCTTCGGGACCTTCCGAAGTGTCTACTTAATAAAGGGTGTCCGTTTGAAAGAGGTTTGTAAAATTTGCGCAATGTTTGTTACAGCTGTGCTGTACTTGGTGCAAGACTTTTAGGTGAACTTTGATCGCGGATGACAGTCATACGGCTGGATATCGGTCTAATCTACAGTTTATTGACAGCTAAATGAATTGATTTATCTTTATAAATCGACTACAATACGTACTTCTAGGACGTAATCCAATACTACTATTGTCAATTCAGTCCGGTGTTCGCTTAATAGAGGTTTTTAACAATAGAAATTTGCCAAATACAATATATTTTAATGTCCGCGTCCGCTTAATAGAGGTGTCCGCTGAATAGGGGTCGTTATAAAGGGAAATATAACACGTTAATTTCGGGACCCGGCTTAGCTAGTGTCCGCTTAATTGGCGGTCCGCTTAATAGAGGGTACACTGTATTTAGTTTTTAAATCTTGTTCAGCGTTTTTAACCATTGTTCAAGAACTCTTCCGAATCTTTAGCCTGACTAGCCTTAAAAAGTTGTACATTAATTATAAAGCGAGAGAAAGCAAACTCTGCGTGGTTTTTTGTTGACGTTGACAGTGTATTTCCTTTTGTTCTATTCATGTAGATGGCATATCAGGCTCGCGTTGCTACTGACATTCCCTACATCGATATTAAAGCCATGAGAGACAAATCCCCGGATGTTCGCGATCGTTCCTCATTAGAAGGGTGGCCAGCGCTCAGCTCCACCCCTGTGAGGGCAATCGGCTGCGTAAGCTACATTCTGTTTCTAACCTGGCAGATGATTGGCTTAGTCCTGTACTCCATCCGAGTATTTGAGGCGACGATCATTGCTCGAAAAAGTAGTTACCAGTCCTCCAATATAACCACATACCCTTATTCTCAAGAACTGGAATTCGCCTGGGTGATTTCGCAGATAGTAAACACTGGATTGCTGATCTCCGCACTCTCGAAAGTCCCCTCATTTCTTGGCTATTGCACTATCCTAGAATCTCTTGTTCATCTCTCATCCTTTTGGAGCCTTTTGGTCTTGTATGGAATATCCATTTTACGTTATCTTCTCATGATTATACTTAAAAGTGACTCGAGTGAAGAAATTTCTTTGCTTATGGCGTTTATGATTTCTGAAGGGACTCAGGTCATTTTCATTGGCTTTCTCAATTTCACTCAAGTAAACCATTTTCGAAAGAAGTATTCCCTGATCGTTTTGGCCTTCTTTAAATTGAACATATTTCTTCTGTTCTTGGCTTTCTTCGTAAAGTTTGTTGCTAACATTTTGCAACTTACTTTGCATATTTATGGCATGGATGATGATGTCGCGATTTCTTCAGACTTTTTGGAGTTGTTGGGTGCAGTCCGAAAATTTACCTCGATTTATTTCAAGTACAGACTGTATGTTTTCTACTGGGAAAAGCTATTTTCTGACAACCGGAATATTCTTTGCCATCACGATCATTTGCATTAGGTTGTTGACAGTTTGCCTGGTTTCGATCATATCTAAACAAAAGGAAACTAAAGGTCTACATAATTGGGGTTATGTCCGATCTGCATGAAATCTGTTAAGGGGTTCCTCAAGGATCTATACTAGGCCCCCTTATACTTTTGCTTACTTTTCGGTTAGATTATATGCGGATGATACATCACTAACTGCATCTGGAAATGATCTTGATAAATTACTAAGTGAAATAAATGACCATTTAAACGATATTTTTGACTGGCTTTGTTGTAATAAACTGTCTTTAAATAAGTAAAACTTAGTCTGTTATTTTTCAACCTCGACAGAAAGTAAACTATAATCTTTACTATCTGTTAATACTAGCGGACCAAATCTTACAGCAATCCTAAAGTGTTAACTACTTTGGTGTATTTTTTGACAGTCACTTAAGTTGGAACCATCATATTGATTACATAAGTAGTAAGATAAGTAAAAATGTGAATATTATAACCAGGTTAAAGCGTTACCTGGAAGTCAAAATCACTTGTCTCTATATATTATTCACTGATATATCCTTACCTCTCGTGTGACTGTCTTTTGTGGGGAAGCAATTATGATACTCCTCTATCAAAGGTTGTAAAATTACAAAATAAAGCTGTTAATCATAACTATAACAAAATTCTCAAATCTGATTGGCTATCAAATGCCTTGATTTCAGCCTTAATTGGACAATTTAATAGGACAGTACGCGTCGTGCCTAAGTAATTGGCCAGTACGCGCCATTATGTACGCGCTCAAATGGCTTTTTTTTCACTACTAGCCAGAAAAAATTGGAATTTCTTCTGTTTTGATTTTAAAAAAGGGCCTTATATATCACAAATTTTGTTAAAGTTATGATTAATTGGTAACAGAACTTCGTGTCGTCCAATTCAGTCTGTAATCATACTAGTGATTAACCAAATCGGACTCCCGCGTTGTTAATCACCCGTATGATTACAGACCGAATTGGGCTCCACTCAGTCCTGTTACCGATTACTTATAAAATTAATGATATTCCCTTTATGGAACCAATAACTTCTCATTACGTAGCTCCGCGTTTATTGAAACTTCCTGATATAGTTAAACTTAGCACGTGTTTGTTGTTTTATGAGTACTTTAATGATGATAAAATTCTGAGTTTTTCTCTGACCTTACGCGCTGAGCAACATAGTTATCATGTTCGTAGTGCATTATCAGATCATCTAGTTATTGAATCTTCCCGTACAAAGTTGAGGAGATTTTCTCGAAGTATAAATGGAAAATATTTTTGGAACAATATTCCTTTGTCCATTAGGGACCGGTCATTATTTATCACCTGGGGGG